GTGTTTAAGAACTACTTGGTATCACCTAAATTGTAAATTTAAGATTATTCGGTCGTTTCCTAAAGGCCGTGTCACACTGGCGTTTTTTTCGTGCAACTTGTGTCGCGCAAAAAAATGTTGAAGTTGCAAGAGCGTTTTTTTACGTGTGACACCCCCTCATGCAACTTGAACATTTCATTTTTTTGTTGAGAGAAAAGTAGAACTGACCTCTACTTTTTTCAACATTTTTCGGAAAAACGCGTGTGTGACATGGTCTCTTGCAACTTCCAAATTTTTCAATTAGGCACACGAACCCATAATAAAGCGAGAATCTGTCCTGTTGTCACTTGTTGTAATAATCAACAAAGATGCCCGACGCCATCTTTGGCGAAAGCGATAATTTTGAAGAAGAAAACGAGACAGAAAGTGAGATGATCGTACATTTTCAATTTACGCGTGCAACTTGAACATTTTTTTGTGCGAGCTAAGTTGCAACGGAATTTTGCTAGTGTGACATGGCATCGTGCAACTTCAACATTTTTTTGCGCGACACAAGTTGCACGAAAAAAACGCCAGTGTGACACGGCCTTAAGTTAATATTTAGTGCAGTTATATAGAGAAGAACGGCAGAATAAAATGTCGCTTCTGATGCAAATGAGATCAAAACAATGACTTCCGTGGATATTTTGTTGATTTTCAAGTATTTTTCGATCCACAAAACATAAAAAATTATTTTGACCTCCATATATGGAGCTGTCAATCAAACTTTTGTTGAATCAAGCTCCCTAGGGAATGTACATTTGATAGACGCCTGGGGAATTCAAGACAGCACATTTGATTAGCGAGTGATCGGTCTTGAATTCGCCAAAAATGGCCATTATAAGTGTTTTTTTTAGTCATTTTCTGCACAAAAAGCCCCTAGGACGGGATCATTAAGCTCGACTAGGCAGTAGAGACAATCGTCTGGAAGAAATCAGAAGTGAGAAGCAATTTTTCGAGAAGAAAGGTTACGGTTGTTGTCAGTCCTCGAGTTTCCCAACAAAGTGAATCACATTTATACGCAGTTTGTTTAATCAACCATGAATCATTTTAAACTTCTTTCCAAGCTTTCGACCTAAGCGGTCATCTTCAGGGAACACAAAAAAGACGTTACAAAAACAAAAACGCATTCAAACTGAAATGAAGCTACTTTTGCGCGCGCAATAAAGATAATGCGCGCGCTGCGTTAGTATTCTCATCTTTCTTGAATTCATTTGTAACAGCGCGCGCATTATCTTATTAAAGACACTAAGAGTAGATCCCGCGGGTTTTTGCGTTATTTTAAGCTAGTGCTACGCTACAGCACTATGGCAAAATGACGTCACAGGCATGTTTACAGCGATGGGAGAGTTTAAGTAAATATTTTCTTTCTTCGAAGGTTTAACCTCGATTCGTCAAGTTTTTATGTATCAATGATTACATATCTCGCTATTCACAGTCTCTAGTTATTCTTCTTTTCTTTGTTGGTTAAGTGTAGTTCCTAGTGCGTTTCTTTGTCTTTTTTCCCTCTTTTGTCCATAGTACTTAGTGTTAAAACAATTGAATGTGCTGTTGTGACGTCATTACGCAATAGGACAATCTATAACTGGAAGCTCTAAAGCCCCATGTGCATCCAAGAACCTTTGCGCGGCGAAAACTCGCCATATTTGATTTTGAACGAATCAGAAAGCACCATTAAACAACAGATCTTYCTTAAAATTTATGCTCGGATGCATATGGGATATTAGGCATTCTAGATAAGAATCTCTCCCTTAGACATCCCATAATTTCAACATAGCTCAAGATGACGACCGCATTGGTATTAATGACGATATGTCCCTGTTTTTTTGCAGTTCTACGTGTAGTAATTTTAAAGATGGTTATGGTTTTATTCATGGAAGCCGTGAAAGCGAAAGCGTAGTTTTCCACTATGTTTGCCGTGAATTGACTCAACATTATTCAAGCTTTTATCAGGTGAACAAAAAAATCTATTGAAACAAAAATTCACTTCCGTATATAATTTGGAATTCACTCATATATCTACTAAAAAAAATCCATTTCGTATCTCCATTAAACTTGCAGCATAATTTGGAATTTGCTCTTTTCTTTGAGACTTTTGTTTACGTATTTGTTCGTGAGTGCGAATTTGCAACCAGAAAGTTTATATGACCCAATAGGCCATTTGCATTATGGCGTAACTTTGCTACAACTACACCAGAGAGCCTTGCGCATTTTCATTGTTATTCAGATTTTTTTTTCCCCTTGGAGATTTATAAAACAATAAAACAATTGGCACTAATTGCATTAAAAAAGAAAGTTGGCAGAGCATTCTGGTAGTTGTAGTAAATGACGCCATAATGCATATCGGCTATTGCGCATTGCTTAATGTGCATGCATCGCTAACTATCGCAATTGAAGATTTCCATGACTGTTATCTATTGTATGTTTAACAGAACAAAACTGGTCATGTTAAATTATGGACTGAATACTCGAAAGCAAAGCAAGAAAATGATAGCAGCATGTTCTTCCAAGAGGTAAGTGAAGTTACATTACGTTGGGCTTGGAGGATTCTTTTATACAAGCGTTTGTTCGGTTGTAAATTTGCTCATTCRTTTGTTTACTCGGTTGCTGGTTGATTTATTCTTTGGTTTGTTGGTCTGTTCGTTGCTTGGTTCGCTGGCTTGTTCGTTTCATTTGTGCATTGGTTCATCCAGTCAACCATTCAAATTTATTCATGTATTATGTGAATAAATTATACTTTTTTGTTTTACAGAAAGAAATAAAAACCCTTGTTGAAGAAGGAATACCATATTCCTGCAGATCGCAAGTTTGGAAATGGTACGTAACACTTACAATTAACACTTACAGTTTGTTTTCAACCATTCCCATGAGATTCAAAAGACAAAAGAACGTCAGCCATGTTGGAGGAATGAACAATAGATACTAATGAGAAATCTTTTGTTGAAGTTCCTCCAATATGGCCGCTGTGACGCATAGTAAACGAAGAATAACACTCCATTTTTGCATTTGTCAAAATATTGAAGAAGTGTTTGTGTTCTTTGTATAGTTTCATCAATGAAAAAGTAAAAGGAAAAATTTTTCAGGTAAGCCAAACACTCTAACTGTGTTCTAGCTCATTTACGGAACCTTTGTCACCCGTTAAGGTGGCGAAAACTTGAATGATGATATTAATTTTTAACACATTTTTAACAATCTWTTCCAACAAGTCTGGAATGTCAGCAAACTGAAAATGTCAGTTTGTCGTCAAATTATTTCTTTTGGGAGTGGATTCATAAAACACCCATGGTGCCCTGCACTCCTAGTTCGTTCGCTACACTGGTGACCAAGCTTCCCGTAAAAGATTTGTCTTAGACTCATAGAATAGTCTCCTTCACGGTTCCCTCTGCCATCTTGAAATGTAACCGTGCTTTTGCATCGAAGTGAGATTAGCTATGAGCGTGGAATGTTAGAAACCGTTTACACCTAGCTACAGATAATTATTCACAGGTATCTATCATTGCACGCTCAACGCTTGTCTCGCTTCGATGCAAAGGAACAGCTACCTTTCAAGATAGCGAGAGAATCGTGAAGGACTAATGTAATATCAAGGGTTTAGATTATTATTCTTTGTTTAAGCGACTTTATTTCTGTTTAGAAACCAGGTTTATACAGCAAACTAGTGAAGAGAACCGCAGTTAAAAAGGTATTGACTTTGTAGAAAAAGGTTGTCCAAACCAAGCAAGCAACTAATTGCATATCACAACAGCATTACTAACAACACCATCACCACCAACAACAACTATATATTAACAGCAAGAACAAGATTTACTGCTACAACGTAATTGACAGTTACATTGACAACGTTACCAAAAACAACATCAACATTAGGAGGAGCAATAACAACAACAACAACAACAACAACAGCGACAACAAGATTGACAAGTACAGCATCAAAAACATGTCAACACTAACAGCATGGTCCGATAAAATTCATAAGTCAAAATCATAAGCTGCAACGAATAGTCCTATTACTTCATGTACCGTATACGCAATGCATTGTAGGATATGTTTGTTTTCTTTAGGAACTGATCCCACAATGCATTGCAGGTCAAGTAGTGACGTAAAAGGTTCAGAGGTCAATTATTCATAGTGCCATTTCTTGAATTCACACAGAATAAATTAAAATCTGAAATGACTGAAGTTGAACGACAAATACGCTGCGACTTGCTGAGAACTATGCCATCTAACGAAGATTTYAAAACGCTTGACTCTACAGGGGTAAGTGTACTGGGTCTGACTCGTCCCCAGAMGTSTCTCTMTCTCTCCCAAAGCATMGTGGKAWGGTTCATCCTTCCCTTTATGCCTTGCGAAATGCGAGAGAGACTACTGGAARCTAGTCACGTGCCAAGTTAAMTCTAATGCGCGCCAAACSTASTTATCGTAATTAAAAACCGGTGTTTCTACCATCCAAAATAGCRCAATCAAAAATCTCCTGTTTTGAAAAGTGATGCCAAAAGCTTCCGTTTTCGATAAAGAAAGAGYTTACGTGTCGACGGAGGGTGGGGGRMATCATTATTTTCAAAAATACYAGACTACGACATATGTAAGGACGTGACTGTCTTTTCGTGCATTCGTACTTCCTCAAATTAGTAAATATTCTATGAATAAACATTGCTATTACCGYGCTCTTGTTTGCTGAATATTTTTATTATTACCGTTCCGTGTTCCTGCCATTGTTAACTAAGTCTCCATGTTATCCCAATTATAAAACCTTTAAATGACAAACTGTGTATTGCTAAATGTTGTTATTTCCGCCTACGTATTTACTTAAATGCTATTTTGTTTGCTTGTTAATAATTTTTGTTGTTGAATTCGTGCTCTTTAGTGATTTAAGATATAATTGTCTCATCTTATTTTGTTGCAGTACAGTAAAAGTTGGTAGATTAATTGTAATCGAAACCTTGATAAGAGTCGGTTTTTGCCCCTCCTAAACACTGTATAATTCTATTTTTGCGTTGTTATTTTCATTATTTGTCAATTAGAGTTGTTTTTGTTATGAAATGATAACTGCTTTGATAAATATTTTGCTTTTGTGGTCAAATATTCGTGATTCTATTGTACTATCTGTATCCCTGAAGAAAACTTCACCGATAAACGCCCGAAACGTTGAGATTCAGTGATAAGGTCTCATGCTTATCTCTAACTCGAAATTTCTTTAAGATTGATTGAGCCGACTTAAGTTTCCCTTAGACATTCATCAAAATGTAACATTTAAAACTAAATTACACTATTCCAATGCTATCCCTTTTTTAAAAACAACTTTTACAGGCGTTATTTATTTTAGATTAAACAGTGTAGCTTGGTTTCTTTTGAGAAATCAAAGACACTTAAGATATGACAGGGCTATGACAAGTTGAGCTCAGATTCGTTTGCGCAACCAAGTTTTCTTAAAAACGAAATCCCCCAGGTCTCAAAGTTCAATAATTTGATTCCTGTAGCTTGCAGCCAAAACTACAACTTCTAAGGAAATCAGAATGATTCGTAAAGACAGGGATGGACAGTGTCCGCGAATTCTTCATGTTGACATTTTACAATGTACTATTATAGCTTTTTATTGTATATTTTTAATCATTTAGAGAGTTGCAAATATTTTGTAGATTCATAGTTTTAATGTGTGTAAAGTTTGACGCAATTCAGTAACYTTACTGCAAAGTGTTTTTCTCAATAAACAAGTCTAATAATCAATCTAGCCTCTATAGAAACCTCGACTGCAAATAAGATTCTTATCATAGCAAATAGAATCTTTACTCTTATTTTAAGCTATATGTTTGATATTTCATACGAAGTAATCCCAACAAAGCTATWAAAGTAATCCGTATACAAACGCCTTCGTGTTTTAGTCTCTATTAAAAATTCTGTTATTYGAAGGCGGAATCAGTAATAGTGTTAGAATACTAGAAAAACCTGACTCTCTGAAAACTAGAATATAAAACTATAGGTTATTAAAACCTTGCCGAAAAAAAACATWTTTTCAACAGAATAATATTTTTATTTATTTTTTAGCGAAAATTCAATAACCATTGGTGCCCTACCTTTTAAAATAATCAGCCTTTRCTAGTCTTGTTCAATTTAGTGCTGCGTGCATTCGGTAACTMAAGCAGTTTTCTTTGGGTTTGTCTAGTTGGTTGTAATTTTTAAAATGCAAATCGTAATGCTTACGTAATAGCTCGATTCTTTAAACCAATCAGATTTCAGCTACACGTCACGTGATATATGTCGTTAGGAAATGCCAAAAAAACTGATAACATTCGATATTGTGTAGTGTCGTCCTTGACATCTTTGAGTTTTAGTTATCTCAGTTRTTATTACAGAAATCTAGCGATAAAAGCCAGACTGACACGTTCATATCCGTTTTTGCCAATATTTCAGTCGGGGACGCAAATTTCAACTGCACTGGGGGGCCTGTGTTATCTGGTTCGTTTGTACAATAGTGTTTTGTTTCCTTTATCCGTCTGTTAGTATCAACGTCGTTGTTTTTTGTCACTAATGATGGTTGTTTGGCATATGTGTCACGATATTTGTTTAATTGAGGACTCGAATAACCTTGAACCTTTGAATTTTTTAGTTTTTTTGCAACTTTTTAACTCGCATCTTTCGAAAGCAAAGTGAATAAAATTGTGATTTTGAAACCCAGWCCTTGATTTTTAGTTGCTTTGAGAGGATGGCAGTATATAAAATGTAAAATTAAGYATAAATTTTTAAAATGTTCCCTTTTTAAGTCCTCGTGTTTCCGCTTAGATTCCGACATCTTTAGATGGAAATGTCTGTCTCATTTCAAAACCATTTTAGACTAAAATTGTTTTCAGTCTATACTTGAAAAGTTACATGATTATAGCTTTGGTAAAAAAATCTTCTCTCAAGAATTTTAAAAACGATAAACATTGCTAAAAACGAGGAGGTATGCCAATAATGACCCGTTTGACGTTCTTTTCAATTCCAACTTAGTTATTAAAAAAAATTATCGTTCCAAGATTWAAAAAATGCGTTATGGTTTCCGTTGCGATTTTAAACACGGACAAAAAAAAGCCGTTTTGATAAATCTGTCCCTTGACAAAAAACACGAACCTGACACTGAACAACTGGTTAGAGAAAAGCAAGCCAAATCTGTCKTCGTATTCATTTTTGTTGTCTATGTCCATGTACTATTTCATTTAGAGTAAAGAGAACACCGATGAGATAAATTTCTGTCTTTGATAGATTTTATTTCTGTGTTGATTTAGGTTCAAAAGTTGTCGCGGGTTTTACATGCGTTTGTGGATTACAAGCCTGAAATTGGATATCTTCAGGTACAGTTTGGCTGTGTTTTTGCTTGTCTTCTTTTTTCCTCCAGGCAATCGTCTCTTTTCCTTTTCCTATTCGAAAATGCTCCCGTTTGGTTTGAAATCAATTCGCTTCGTTTCTATTTTTTTTCCTTTCTTCTCTTTTCATTTCTTGTCCGGTATTTATTTTCTACTCCCAGTTCTTTCTCATTCATATTAGWATTCATGTTTTTTAATTCATTATTTAGTAATTTTTAGTAATTTTCATGTTTTTTTTCCTTCTTTTCTTTGATTATTGTTTTCTCCTTCATTTCCTAGTCAACTTTCTTCCTTTTTTCTTTAGTTTCCCACTGTTTTCTTTTATTTCTTCTTCATCTTTCCTTTCTTTCCTATTATCGCATTTCTTCCCCATTTCTTAGCACTACTACTAATTAAACGTTCTCATTTATAGGGAATGAATTTCTTGGTCGGGTTGTTTTTGCTTTTCATGGAAGACGAGGAAGATGCCTTTTGGTTTGTTTATTGCATTTTAAGTTTATCATAGTTCCATACTCCTGCCCGTATGTCGTGATATAGTTTTAGTTTATATCAGTCAAACTTGTAGCCTGTGCAATGCGTTGAATTATTTGACTGGAACAACATTTTTATCAAGTAAATCATTTTAAAAGAAAGGTTTTCACATTCAATCTCTAAAACGACTCAAACTGTCATCTTATTCAATATGTTGCACTACAGAATTAAATCAACGTCGAGTTCATCGAATTMTATATGATTTTASCAACTCGAATATCTCTTTCAATTTTTTTAGTAAAGAAAACCTTTTTTTGTATAGGTCGCTTTGTGCCGTGGTTGATGTTTACTTGAAAAACTACTTTGATGCAGTTTTGAGCGGAGTTCAAGCAGATCAGGTATAAATTTGGGAAACGTCTCACAAATGTCAAGATATCACTATATTATGGTTTGTCATCCTTATGTTAGAGACCCGTCATAATGAGTTTCGTGACGTGCGCCATTTTGAATTTGTCCGCCATTTTGTTTTACTCCTGTTACCRCTGACAGCCACGATCACTGGCGCGCGAGTCCCAAAGGGTAACTTTGAGTGGAAAGAATATAAAATCACTAAGAACAAAAATTTAAATTCATTTCTCTATCTCATTGTTGAATATAGCAATAACTTTCTTCCTTTCTTTTGATTTGGGAGCGTAATTTTTGCATAGATGCCTTCTACTCTCTCATTTGTAATTGAAAATATTTTAATTTATTTTTGACAGGAAGTTTTGAAGGAACTAATAGCTGAAACTATGCCCGCGCTGAATTCCCACTTTAAGTACTACGGCGTGGATATTTCTACTGTCACTTTCAATTGGTTCATTACAGTGTACTTAGATGCCGTCCCTTTTGAGGTAAGCCAAAAAGGGAGGGACTTWTGTAATTCCGATTGCCTGTCTTTTTCTTTCTCAGTTATTGCCGCTCAATTCATCCATCCCTATTTACATCCAGTTGTTCGCCCGTCCATCAATATACAGTCAACTCTCGCTATTACAAACACCCTCGGGACCGTAATTTAGTGTCCGCAGTAACGAGAGTCCGTACTAATTTCTTTGTATTTTTCTCCGGGAATTCAGTATTTCGTGTCCCTAATATCGAGGTGTCCGTTATAGTAGGTTGTCCTTAATGCGAGAGTTGACTGTATTCATTTATATTCATCCATTTCCACGCATTTCTTTTATCCTTCCACCCATTTATCCGTCCGTCATCAATCCATCGTCTACTTTCATTCATTCATCCATCCATCCATTTTTTATCTATCCATGGATCCTTCACATTCCTGCTTATCTGTGTTAATTAGCGATTGATAACTCGTCGATTTTATTACTGATTTAATTGATTAATTCCTTTATCATTCCGTCCATCAACCCATCTTTTCGTTCATATTTTCATTCTCTTATTACATTTCTCATTTACAGACTGCTGTTCGAATATGGGATTGTTTTCTATTTAGTGGACGAGAGGTAATGCATAGCTCATGAAAAAGGATCATTAAAAAAGGTTTTCTTTCTAAAAGAAGGAAAAAAACCTTTGGTAATGTGCATTTTTACAATTTCACTAATTTTTGGACTTCCCGATAACCTTTTTCAAGTTTTTTTGGTCCAAAAGCAATTTAAATGRCATCACTCTTTTTTCAGGTTCTATTCCGTATTGCTATTGGTCCAAAAGCAATTTRAATGACRTCACTCTTTTTTCAGGTTCTATTCCGTATTGCTATTGGTCCAAAAGCAATTTRAATGRCRTCACTCTTTTTTCAGGTTCTATTCCGTATTGCTATTGGTCCAAAAGCAATTTRAATGRCRTCACTCTTTTTTCAGGTTCTATTCCGTATTGCTATTGGTCCAAAAGCAATTTRAATGRCRTCACTCTTTTTTCAGGTTCTATTCCGYATTGCTATTGGTTTATTGAAGCTGCAGCAAAGGTCTTTATTACAACTATCAGGTTATCTAGAGATAATGCAGTACATGAAACGAGCAGCCCGAGTAACGTACGATATTGATCGACTTTTTAAGGTAAGAAAAAAAGCGGTTATTTTAACTCTTGTGACTCTGGTCCCCCCACAGCGTGTTGTCAGTTTGTCTTTGTTCAAATGTAAAACGTCAGCCAAATGAGCAATATTTGATTGCGCAACATCCTCTATTCAAATTATTGGACTACAGCATGGTAGGCTGCGTAACAAACGTAGCGGCACTAAGGGGACTCGTTAGAGACAAGTGGGGATTGGGCTCGGTACTTCCCAGTCCCATTAGGGCACTACGCAGGCTATATCATGGCTGCAAACTTGTTTGATGCTCACTCCAACAGTGTCAAACAATGTAAAAAAAAAAAACGACTTTAAACTCCATTTGGTGCTCCATCCAATAACATCCAACAGCATCAAAAAAAGTAAAAAATATCTTAAAACTCCATTCAGCAATATCAAACAAGATGGACAAAACGTCTTCAGCCATCATTTTAGATTGACAATCGTTGCCAACAATACTTGCACAATGCAAGTGGATTTCCATTTTTAAGAATCATGTTAATGTTGTTTGGCAGGCCTCATTTGATGAGATAACCAAGTTCCCTAGCAACGAAGAATTGGACGAAATGCAGAAGAAATATCGATCAGATATCGAAGCGAAGAACGACTTTAAACTCACTGTTAAACACGAAMGAAAGGTAMACAACAAWGARAAATAGTTGGGCTGYCTGTRKRAATGGGTTCKTAGTCTTTAAGGCACAGGCAGCCCAACCAAAAATCTTGAATCTTCACGCCTTACCTATGAAATGTAATATTGTTCCTATAGAGATCTAGAGTCAGTTCGTTCACAGTAGAGATTGCAACTCCAGACCGGTCAGACCGGCTTGATCACGTCCAGGTTGTGGAATGTGCAGTTGCTGCAAGCAAAGGTACGTTCTCATAATTTCATGACTAAAATATCACTAACAGGGGAGGGGTTGGGGACTGGTCGCTCAGACCGGCTTGACTACGTCCATGCAATCGTGTTTAGATTTCTCATATATAGAAAGTGAGGTGACTTCAGTTATTTATTCGCTATCCGTTTCCATCCGTCTCCATGCCGTCCGCGAAGACCTTGAGAAGCGCCATTTTCAACAACGTCGAAATTATTYGTAGTGCTACCTTTCACAATCTGTCAAAAATCTCAAACATCTCTAGGTTTTTCCAAATAAGTTTGATATATATTATTTCTTTATTTAACATTTAGTCATTTTCTTGAATTGYTTCGAATATTGCGTCTTTTTTAAACGTGTTATTTTTTAGCTTTTCATAATATAGAAAATGAGGTGACTTTAGATATTCATTTGCAATTTGTTTTCATCCGTAAAATCTCCATTCATGGAGCATAAAGGGACATTAGAGAGCAAAATGTTCGTATATTATGATGTATTTTTCATTTTCAAACATAATAAAATCTCAAAAGGGTTGTCGGTAGATCATGGCCTTCTTAAGTATCAGTCATTTTCTAGTGAAAATATTGACATCTTAGAAAACCATCTGTTTAAACACAAATATCAAGGTGTTTATTGCATTATTCGCGCTTGTCTCGCAAATAAATCACAAAATCACTTTTATTAATCCATAACTAAGTCATATTCARGTTTGAACAACTGAGTAAATGTTTGTATAATAACTATGAGATTATAATATTTTTTGAAGTGGTTTTGGCATAAATGCCACGAGGGATATTTCATAACTTGGGTGAAATTTTCGTGAGGATATTTCAAAATTAACCTTAAATATGACAAGAGTAACATTTATTTCAAATATCACTTCTAATCATCCAGTTATTTTTATGTTGTCTAATAGAAGTCTACAATTTGGCCGCTGTTCTCCCTCGATGGACAGTTATAGTTCCTATAGGAACATTGAAATACGCATATCAAAAATGATAAAAATTAACCCCTTTTATCAAAAGAAAGGGTAATTTAGATAAAGTTTAAAATATAAGTTAGCAAAAAAAGCAATAGTTTTATATGTGTATAAAAAAACAAGGCAAAAAGAAAGAACAACAAAGAAAGAAAGAAAAACAAAAACAAAAATGCTGATAAAAAGTTTTAATACGTTTCATTTCTGACCGTTTTTATTAATTGGTTTTAAATAAGATTTTTACAAATTAGTGTCAGTGAAATAAGTTCTTATTTTATAACAAATAAGTTAAAACTGAAGATATTCGCCAAAATAACCCACACAAACTGCAAACATGAACACAAACATTTCCAACTCGGAATTATTGCCGTAGCAAAATACTCCATCTATTGCATAAGCTATAAGAAGTCTTGCTTATTTGCAAAGTGAAGAGCCATATCTTGGCAACAAAAATGCGGTTTCCCTGAGGGCAATAATCATGTAAATTTATATCTTGTTTTTAGCTAGTTAAATAAGATGATTCRCTGTGTAATAGGGTCAGTTTGACCTCGAAACCCAAACGCCATCCGACAGTTTAGAATGCAGCGAGATTAAAAAGTCTTATAAATGACTTTTTGATTCGAAAAATACATTAAATTTAAGCCAGTTGACCAATTATAAGCTTAATATTATGTTTTTTTATAACGCTCTAGGCAAAATGATTGTATTGTTTTACCATTAGTGCTGCCCCTTGTATATCTTTCTTAATATAAAGAGTTTAATATTTCTCAAATTTTCTCATTCAACTGGAGAAAAACATCTGAACAAGCTCCTTCGATTAATTTTCTTTTTTTCTTTGAAATCTGTTTCTTCCAGTTATTTATTACAAAGCTTGCATTTCTGATGGTCGAGTGTCGATTTACYCGRTCCCCGAGGCTGGAAGCTTTTATTTTTCGAGATTCTATCCATTGCAYTACTTCATCAGCGATTGGTATCCCTAGGAAATTGTATATATCTTGAGCTACTCTCTTTGTCTGTACTACCATGTCTTCGTATCGAACAAACATGTACCTACTTTGTAGCCATTCTGGAGGATGACGTCGCAATGTGAGGTTGTTTTTCAGAGGCCTACAAATGCTTTGTACGTTTTGATAGAAGTCAGGATCTGGGTAATCTTTAATCCATTTATACCGAGTCCATGAATAAACAATAGCTCTAGGATCTCGAACTAMATGAATTATCTTAACTTGTCGTTTTCGTGCCAGTCCATTCTTAACCAATTCTTCGAGACTGCTTAAAGAAGCACTTGGTAATCTCCCAGAAAGTATTTTAACTGCTCTATGCTTGAAATGCTTGCACAAGTGTTGGAAACGAGCCGTCAGTACTTTRCCTTTCTCAATTATTTTCGCTAAAACCCTGCTTCTTCTCTGTTGAAGTTTTATTGAAGCAAGTTCTTGGAGATATTTTGTCTTTCCAGTGATATTACAAGCTAAGAAGGTTTCCAATTTGAGAACTGCTTCCTCTTTGTACTCCGGATCTTCTTTGTCGAAGAGTATGTTGTTCCTTTGTCTACTAGATTTGTTATCACCACTCAAAACACCCGTAGTTACGTGCAGAGGTTCAAAAACATACATGATRTCTGGRTGCTGGTTTAGTAACTCGCCGAGAAATGTTGTCCCCGAACGGCCTTGRCCAACAACTACGATATCCAATCTTATTTGACCTTCTYCTGTCGCTGARTGAATGCTGATTTCATTGCTTGGAAAGTTTATGATAAGCACAATCGATGTACAACATAGGATTATAAATATTTTGAGTAATACTGAGGCTACTTTGCCTTGTGAAATCATAGTAGTAATACAAGTTCTCGTGAAACCAACTGATAGAATTGAAGAATGCTGATTTGCGAAAACTGATTCTGCTGGTAACTATATTTATTCTTGACTACGTCAAGAGCGGAACAGCGGTTGGACCAACCACAGGTAACCCAGGCTCAATAAATAAATTAAAGTTTGTCGTACGCACAATATTTTGTTTGTCCGTAAATGATATTTATAACATAAATTAAACTCTCTTACCTTCCAGGTTTGAAATATTTCGATTTTTAGAGGATTGATGCACTAAGTATATGTAGGATAAAGGCGTAAATCCTTTAAAAATCGAGATATTTCAAAACCAAGAAGCAAGAGACGTTTTATTTATGTTATAAATTTTATTTAAGGACAAAAAAATATTGTGCGTACGACAAACTTTATACTTGTTCATTGAGCCAGGGTAACCTGTGCACGAACGAATGTACTTGTTGATATTCTTATCACTTTTTAGTGAATAACTATCACTCGTCTTCAGAAAAACCACAAACCAAGCAAAGCACAATAAAAGATATTTATTTAAAGTAAATTAATATTGCTATSAATAGTCAATACTCATACTGTAACCTTTAGCCTGCGTTTAGCCGAACCAAAACTGTCGTTGTGTGACAGTTTTAATTTGGTTCGGCTGAACTCAAGCTAAGAAACCTTCGGTCGTGGATTCGCCATTCTTCCCGACAAACCTTTTKAAAAATACCWATATTTGCAATCAGATGTTTGTATTTAGATAATTAATTAGACTCTTTGCTTCTAACACTGTTCGTGAAAACTACTTTTTAACTACTTTTAAAATATGACATACGATTAGCATAATATCCTTAAAATGATATTTTTTGCACTTATTTACTAAGTTGACGGCATCAAAGTCGGTCTTATTTTTAACTCTAGTTTATATTTCCCGCATCAAAGAGCACAGATAAAAGAAGAAAGGTTGCTCTCGCAATTCTTTGAAAATTTAACAAGAAATAGAAAAAAAATAAGTATTTTAAGATGACGATWAAAAGGAAGCTACATAAATATTGACGCCCGGTCCTAAAACCGCAGACMATCGRCATCACAGGCTATTTTCATCTGAGGATTGTCAGTCAATAATMMAGTTTCGARTTCTACAATGCTCTGTGTTAGCCTCATTTGTGAGCAAAAAATATTACTAATTGTGAGAATAAAAGTGCGAGATTTCAAAATCAATTTTATTGTCTTTCTTCAAAAATTACATGCGTTTTCACAGGCTATCAATAAAACAAAAGAGCAAACCAGAACTCGAAATTGGAGTATTTTATTTTTGTCTTTTCGTGTACATTTACTTGTATCTTTGTTTTGTATAGACCTCTCGAAACCTGTATGTATAGCATGTAGTGTACGAGGAGAAACGAAGCTCTATTTGCTTGACATCGACAAGAAGGAGAGAAGTACACTGGACGTCGATGTAAGTTTGACCTGACTTGGACAAATGTTGGATGTTATTTGATTAATTAATTTATTTATTTATATGCTTTCACCATACGAGTCAAGACAAAAACCTGAATATAAATAGCGGACTAATGGCGTCGCTTCACATTGCCTGGAATCTCATATAAAACTACAGATAAAAAACTACCAGGCTATGCTTATGCCTATGCAGTCTCGTTCTCACTAAGCATAAGCATGAGATAAGCATAAGAAGATCAAGCCTTGCTGGTTTTTCTTGTGCTCATGCTTATGCTTATTTTGAGCCCGTTCTCACTGGCGCATGTGACTCTCGTGCTTCGTGCTTATGCCTATGCTTATGCGCTAGTGAAATCCACGCTTTAATACAATAAGTTTATAGTWATTCTGTACTCATTATAGATCGATTCTCGTGTGCTCTGTGCGGATGTAGTTGGTGACGGTACCCTCTTAATTGGTACCGTGTCCTGGTTTATATACGCCTTTTGTCTAGACTCTTGGTAAGTTAAACAGCGGACATATCCCATTTTGTCATGCGCAAGAGAATAGTCTCTTTGAGTTCCCTGCGCCATCTTGAAAGGTAACCATGCCTTTGAGACAAGCGTGTGATGAAGTGATCCTTCTTTCATTTGCAAGGCTGTTTTGCTGTAATTTTGAACTTATTACTAATATTTTGTGGGGGGCCAGTGCCCCCCGGCTCCGCCGCCCCTGACAATTTTTTATTAGTCTCACGACAGTTGTAGCTATTAAGGGAATTAGACGACACAACGTTTGCCTACTATACTATCGCATACAACTCATCCTTACAACATGGTTACAACTTGTTTTAAATCGCTACGACAGTTGTATCCATGTTGTAAGGATGCGATGGTTGTAAGGCAGCAAAAGTTATGCCGTCCAAATCAATCTTTTTAATCCATCCAAACTTTATCCAACTTTAATGCAATCTTGGCTTCCACTGATTTTTAGTATTGTTTGTAGTGAGGAGATCTGGAGCATTCAGCTTAGCGACTCTGTGATTGACTTGTGTCATTACTATGACGAGACAGATGACAAGGTGTACGCGGCTTTGGCTGATGGTTCTATCGCTGTCTTACCGGTACGTTGTGTTTTCTTTCTTTTTGTATTTCTTTCTCTTTTTTCCCCTCCAGTTTATCGTGTGTTTTTGAATAAGAGAGGCTATTAAATGAAGAACGCGGCCAACTCAACGTCCCATTGATCTTACCAGGCTTCTTCACCTTTCCTTGATTATTCTCAAAACCATCAAAACTCTTTTGATTGCTCCCTTAATATAAGTACTGCACTTCTATTGTTGATCAGGTTTTTAACTATTGTTTGGAACACAATCTATTGTTTGTCCATTGTTTTCTCAGTTTTCTCACGAGATTCGTTACCATCGRTTGTGGTGACCCGACTTTCCAAAATGTAAAAACGGATAATGCTAAATCGACTGTTCAAAAAGAATTTTATATTTTGCTTGTTGTTCGCAAAGCAACCTGAAACTGCTATCCCATAGTACACCTCGCCGAGCATGACGTCATAAGAGGAASAAACCATTATTTCCAAAGAAACTGTATGTGATCTTGCGAATGTGTCCAGAAAATGGTCAAAATTCGGACACATTCATGGCTTCCCATATATTTCTTTGCAAATTTTAGAATACTTGAAATATTTGTAACTCGTTCGCTATCGAACTGATTGACACCAGATTTTGGAATTTTGCATTTTTCAACAAGGGCTTTCTTTCTATGTAAGTCTTATGTCATGATTATCTAATTAGGGAGTTTTTGCTCAGTCAAACACGGTTTGAAATCCGGCAATAATCTGCTCTTTGTTTGTTGTTTAGAATGCTAATTCCGATGGCCCGCCGTCTCAAGGATCACATGTTCGAATTGGCTCCGCCCCGGTGATGTGCGTCACGTTAGTCGATGACAAAGTGTGGTGTGGCTGCAGTAATAATGTTGTTATCTTGGAAACGAGGTAAAGTTTAGCAGTTGAACTGAGGGCACTATGAACCGGGATACGGGGACAACTTAGGGTCTTTTTACCTTTAGGTACTAGATTCAATCTCTTATTTAAATCCTCCAAGGAAAGAAAGCAAAGGAGTTTGGCTGTACTACCTACAATCCTATAATGTTGCATGTACTTGGGACATTGCAACGTGTTACGTAACAAAGTTACAATTTGACAACACGACACCCACTCGGTAGAATATCGTGCATCCGGTCTCCTGTTCAATGTTGTGTGGCCATTTTCATTTGTTGTTTTTTCCCCTCATGATTCAGTACAATGACATCGTATACAACAACAATATTGACCGTGACGGGGGGGGGGGGGGGGGGGGGGGGGCACTACTTTCATAAGTAGTTAGTTAAGTAAAGCTTTCAGTTCATTGGATTATAAACGATATTTTATGTAAAAAGATAAATTGAAAAATTCGTCTTTACTACGACGGATGACACTGGTGAAAAACGCACTGCGCATGTCCACAGCTTTCCCGATGAAATCTGCCTAATTTCCTTTGTAAAGCGATTTTTGTGAAAGTTTTTTACAATTTATACGCTCGTTCACCGATATATAAGATTCATATTTCCATCAATCATTGTTCATGATAGGTCCTTTTAGTATGTAGTTTCTATTTTTATCTTGTTATTTCTATTTTGAGAAAATGAGGTTTTTGTAGTGTTTTCTGTGTTGTCGCTGTAAATCGCCAAGCGATTTTTGTGAAAGTTTTTTACAATTTATACGCTCGTTCACCGATATATAAGATTCATATTTCCATCAATCATTGTTCATAATAGGTCCTTTTAGTATGTAGTTTCTATTTTTATCTTGTTATTTCTATTTTGAGAAAACTGAGGTTTTTTTGTAGTGTTTTCTGTGTTGTCGCTGTAAATCGCCAGGCGCTCTGTTTACAGATTTCAAGACGCGAGCGCCCACTGGCGGGAAAGCTGTGGGCATGCGCAGTGCGTTTTTCACCAGTGTCACGACGGATTATAACGTCCGAAACGTCAGTAAGTTGTTTTACAATTTTGTCATCGTGTCAAATTTATTTTGTTTATTTATTTATTTTTTTGTATCCACCGTTTCGATATTTCGGTTTTCTAACCACACACAAAAAAATTAATGACGGGGCTCCGGGGAAACAATAGAAAATTATTTTGTTTTCCCTTAGCCCCGTCCTCAATTCTTGTGTGCGTGACCAATAAACCAAAATATTGCAACTGGACTATTTTGCTATCAGTTTTATCTTTCTCTGATTTTCCTGTTTTGTGATTGGCCGTTTTTGGAGTGAGTGCAGTGTTACCAAACGATGAATTCGGCTCGCAATCTAATTACTGCGTTTGGTCTTCTTCGCGGTTCGCGTGATGTGAACCTTGTAAATACCAATTAGTGTTCGTTAGGTCGTGATATACGTTGACAATGTTTGTTTTTTGTAACCGCTATGATTTCATGCTGTTTCATCTCTTAATAACTTCATCAAACACAGTACGGTGTTTATTTACATTTCTTTTCTTAATCTAAGCTACTTATTTCTCAATACCTATATTGATATAACACAAAGCTTAAAATGTTGGAAATTCTAAAACAAACTCTTAAACTTTGTAACTTTTGGGATAAAAGCTGAAGTTTTCTCCATTCGAACTGTTGCAAGGTTTTGTTTTTATTAATGATTTTGTGGTTTATTTCTGAACTCAAGGGATTTATAAATTGAATAGCTGTCATCAAAACTGTTGAATGAATAGAGTTATATCAGTTGTGGTTTAAGGGAGAGTTTTGTGGGACGAGAAGAACAAAAAGAAATCTATTGTTTTTTCAATCGGTTTTTCTTGTGAAAATCATTTTTAGCGGAAAACTCGTCGCAACTTTCTTTCAAAAACGTAACGACTTAACGAGGATCGTAGATATTGAAATTTAGGTCTTTAAAAACCTACAAACATAAGACTAATGTACACACAAATCGAGAAATTTTTAGGTATTTAGCTTTTGAGTTTTGTCTTTGTTTGTTGTTGTTTTTTTAAGTTTGTCGAGTTTTGACAGATTTTCGTGACAAAATTACATTCTGATATTCATCTTCAAATTATTTTGAACGTTTTGTTTACTATACAAAAAGTGTGACATCTATAACAAGTGGCTAGAAAACGTTTTTACATTGACAGAAAATAATCATATTGAACAGAGTTTTTTAAGCAAAACGTATTCGACAGTAAAAAAAGTCCTGATTTTATTAATGTTGTGAGGCCATTTATCAAGGTCTTCGCTACGCTAGATACCGCACTAGTCCCAGTACAATTGTAAAGAGTAGTATATCCCTGTATTTATAAGCCATAAGCTCAAATAAGATATGTTGAACTCCAAAGGATTATTCTCATGATGTTTATGTTCTATGCATTTTGTTTTTGCAAGCTGCTCCGTAAATAGTTTGAAATAGCTGAGTTTCCTAATGAATATAGTTCTATGTTATTGAAAGCTTTACTTACAATTTAACGGATTTTTCCCCCATCAAAGTCCAGTCATCCATTCGCAGCTGACCCAGTCCAGAGTACTCGCGGTTTTTGTCACGATCCTAGTTTGCTTAGCTAACATGAAAATACTTAAACTAAGGGATTGTTTGTTTTACCATATAGCACATTTTGATTGGCTAGATGCTTGCCTTATCATTGTTTTCTTTCATGTAGTACTCTTGAAGAAGTCCACGCCATGGTCGTATCACCATCTGGTCGTCACCAGGTTGCTCGGTTGATTGCAGGAGAGCATGGGGTCTGGTGCACAATACGGGGGTAAGGAAAATTGATATCAATTATCATCATCAAAATCATTATCATAATCATGGTTGTACACAAATGAAAAAATGAAAACGTTTGCAATTTTTGGAATCACTATCATTTCTTGGAATTTGACTTCATGTTATTCCTAGCTTTTCTTCTTATTCTAGAATCGATGGTATAGGTTTTTGTCATTTAATAACGTTTTAGATGTTTTAACTGTTTTTTTTAATGAGCGTTATTTTTAATCCTCTTTCTTTTTTTCATGTTTTACGATCAAAACTAATATTTCTGAATCCCATTACCCTGGTCATAAATCGCGTCCCTATGCCCCATACCCTATATACACATCCAGGTTTTCATCAAATCCCTTAAGATGCCATCGTAAAAAAAACACCGTAATATAAGAAAAAAACTTTACCCATGCAATCACAT